ACATAATTAGATTTATATTTTCAGTAGAAAAACCGAGCAAGGTTGTCGCGTCGGTGGCTAATGCAGCGTGCAGGGGCTGGGGGATCTCATGTTGGTGGGCGGTGGATGCCTGGCCGGTGACTGGTGGTCGCCTGAGGGGCTGAGTGAGTACGTGCAGCATGAGGGTAAGTGGGTGAATGTAGTGTGAGGATAGGCTGGTGAGTGGTGGCTACTTGTCTGAGAAAGTGAGGGAGTTAGGGTTTAGAAATGAAAATTGATTTCTTGTTTTAGACCTGAAAACCCCGGTTTAAGACCTGATCCGGACCGGGACCGGAATCCCTGAATTTCAAGGACCAAGACCGGACCTAAATCAACAGGTTTGGGTCAGATCCGGTCCTAACAGGTCCGGTTTCGGTCGGTTTTCAGCTCCGATCCTGTTTATGTACACCCCTTATCCCAACTATGGGCAATTTACTTCTTATAATCCCAACTAAGCTTTATTATCTAGTAATCCAAGCTATGGGGTATGTTTGCCTCCAATGGTCCCATTGACCAGCAACCTGCTAAAGGAGTTTTTTTTTTTTTTTTTTGTTATAACAGCCAGTCAGCCACGTGTCAACATGTGTTTGGTCTGAAATTTTTTTTTTAAAAAAAAACAAAAAAAATTTTAAAACATAAAAAAAAAATAAAAATCCCGGCCACACCCAGCTAATCACCGTCAAACCCTAACCCAACTTCTAACCTTGTCGGAAACCGATCGGCCACCCCGCTTTTATCTCTGAAAATGGGCGGTCAGTCATGTAACACCCTAGAAATTCCTTTCTTTTAAAATACCTGTTTTGCCCTGTTAAAACTTTAAATAGGAATATCTAATATATTACCTGTAATACCCCGTATTTTTATACTTATTTTATTTAAAATAAGTATTTGAGGAGTATTTAATTAAATCGAATTGTTTAATCTAAAGTATTTTAATTATCCATTTTAAATATGTTTGGGAAATATTTATAAAAGGAAAGTTTATTTTAATTAATTATTTTAATTAAGTTGGGATTTAAATTAAGAAAAGTTTTATTTTAGTAAAGTTTTATTAGGGAAGGGATTAGGAAAATTAAAAGAGGAAAGTTTAGGGTGAAGGGTTCCTAGAGAAGGAGTATAAATATTCAACACTTGGGCAAATTAAACTTTGCCCAGAGTGGAGAAAATCCAAGGTAAACTTCTCTCCCTTTTCCTTTATTTTCTTTCTTTTTCTTTCCCTTTTTCCCTTTCCCCTTTTCCGGTTTCCCCCTCACCGCCGGCCACCACCACCACCGGTGGGCCGCCGGCCACCAACAGCCCCAGCCGCCGGCAGTAGGCAGCCACCGGCGCCGGCAGCAGTCGTGGTGGCTGTCGGCTGCCACCTTGTTTTTCCGAAAAAAAAATAATTATTTTGTTTTTGTTTTAATTTTTGTTAAACCTTAGATCAAATTTCAATTATGGGTTTTATGATTTATATTATGATGTTTGATTATAAGTAGTATGTTAAATAAATTTGTAGATTATGTTTTTAATTAAAAAAAACCCTAATTTTTGAAACCCTAGATTCTTGAATTATTAATTATTGAAGGATTATGATATATATTGGTTTAAACCTTTGATTTATGTGTTTTAAGGCTTAATTACAGCAAGTTTTTATATAATTATAATGCTGGAATTTATGGTAGTATGTTAAAAATCAAGTTTCTTTAAGGAATTTTAATTACCCATTAATTAGGGTTAAAGTATGATGTTTTAAATATAATTTCAGCTTATTTTAATTAAATTATGAGGGGTTTTATAATAGTATATATTGCTGGAAATTTGTGTAGAGTGGGTTTTAATACTCTTCTATGATTTTAAATTGTAGGAGACTTTGAAGTGAGCGATTTTTATTAGTCGTGACGATTTTAAAATCATATTCAAGGTACGTTCGCGTACTTAGCAAAATTATGTTGATGTAGTAGCATGCTAAACATGTTTGATTGATTACAAGTAGTATCATGCTAAGTTTGGAATGGAATTTATGATTTGAATGTTATTGGTGATTGGATTATGAAGCATGATTTATTTGTGAATGGATTATTGAATGAAAGATAATTGTTGGAATATTATTTATGAACCACATATTTATTTGTGGCATGTTAGAGAGCATGTTTAATTAAACTAAATGTTTAATTTGGTTGGGAATATTGAAAAGGAATTTTATTATGGTTCATATGATTTTTATGGATGCTATAAGCATGAGGAAGGAGCTATTTAAGTGTCTTTGTACACGAGGAGTAAATTATATTTTGATGCCTTAGTGCACCTAAGGTGTTTTTAACACCGAGGGATAGGATTTGTGGCGCTTTATGCGTTTAAGGTGTCTTTAACACTGAGGTAGATTTAAAAGGGTTCAACATTAAATATTATGTGGTCACTAACTATTCAAGAATTAAATTGGTGTGTTTAATTGATTGGATAATTATTGTTGATTGAATGATTGTAGTTCGTGAGTCATCACCAAGTCTAATAATCTGTAAATAACGTAAAGTGAAAGAGATTACGCACCAAAACTCTTGGAACGTAAATACCTTGAGTATGAACATATGGGGGGAGTTATGGGGTTTTATATTTAACCATAACTTCTACTGGAGTACAGGACGTTGTACATTCCTTTTATTATTATTATGCGCAGGAATCCCGTTCGATGCGTAATCAATGCTAAATAAATTATGTAGGTGTCTAGTTGTAAAGTTTTGTTGAATGATGTATGCTTGAAACACAGGTGCAACAAGGTAAGTTGAATGTTGTTAGGAATCACATGTTAGTGTGTTAATTGCGCTTATGTACTCAGCTTTGCTGATTGTGTGTTTTGTGTGTTTGTTGGCCTTGTCTGTATCTTGGCCCTATGATGACCCATTTTTAATGGAGAGTAGTGGAAACAAGTGGAGATAAGCTTTTCAGGTTATAAAGCATATTCATGATGGGCATGAGTGAAGAGCGAATCATGCTAGTTTCCATAAGTATATGATGTGTTTAATGCTTTAATTACTTATGATTTTATTTATATGCTCAACTGTTATGGTTAAATATAAAACCCCATAACTCCCCCCATATGATCTACTGCGCATAATAATAATAAAAGGAATGTACAGCGTCCTGTACTCCAGTAGAAGTTATGGTTAAATATAAAACCCCATAACTCCCCCATATGTTCATACTCAAGGTATATACGTTCCAAGAGTTTTGGTGCGTAATCTCTTTCACTTTATGTTATTTACAGTTTATTAAACTTGGTGATGACTCTCAAACCATAATAAATCAATCAATAATAATTATTCAAACAATCAAACATACCAATTTAATTCTTGAATAATTAGTGATCACATGATATTTAATGTTGAACCCTTTTAATTCTACCTCGGTGTCAAAGACACCTTAAACGCATAAAGCGCCACAAATCCTATCCCTCAGTGTTAAAAACACCTTAAGTGCACTAAGGCACCAACATACAATTTATTCCTCATGTACAAAGACACTTAAATAGCTCTTTCCTCATGCTCATAACATCAATAAAAATCATATGAACCATAATAAAATTCCTTTACAATCTTCCAAAACAAATTAAACATTTAGTTTAATTAAACATGCTCTCTAACATGCCATAAATAAATATGTGGTTCATGAATAATATTCCAAACTATTATCTTCCATTTAATAATCCATCACAAATAAATCATGCTTCATAATCCAATCACTAATAACATCCAAATCATAAATTCCATTCCAGGCTTAGCATGATACTACTTGTAATCAATCAAACATATTTAGAATGCTACTACATCAACATAATTTGCTAAGTACGCGAACGTACCTTGAATATGATCTTAAAATCGCCACGACTAACAAAAATCGCTCACTTCAAAGTCTCCTACAATTTAAAATCATAGAAGAGTATTAAAACCCACTCTACACAAATTTCCAGCAATATATACTATTATAAAACCCCTCATAATTTAATTAAAATAAGCTGAAATTATATTTAAAACATCATACTTTAACCCTAATTAATGGGTAATTAAAAATTCCTTAAAGAAACTTGACTTTTGACATACTACCAAAAATTCCAGCATTATAATTATGTAAAAACTTGCTGTAATTAAGCCTTAAAACACTTAAATTAAAGGTTTAAACCATTATATATCATAATCCTTCAATAATTAATAATTCAAGAATTTAGGGTTTCAAAAATTAGGGCTTTTTAATTAAATCATGATCTAGAAATTTATTTAACGTACTACTTATAATCAAACATCATAAAATAAATCATAAAACCCATAATTGAAATTTGATCTAGGTTTAACAAAAATTAAAAACAAAAACAAAATAATTTTTTTTTCAGAAAAGCATGGTGGCAGCCGACAGCCACCCCGGCTGCTGCCGGCGCCGGTGGCTGCTTGCTGCCGGCGGCTGGGGCTGATGGTGGCTGGCGGCCCACCGGTGGTGGTGGTGGCTGGCGGTGAGGGGCCGAAAAAGGGGAAGGGGAAAAAAGAGAAAGAAAAAGAAAGAAAATAAAGAGAAAAGGGAAAGAAGTTTACCTTGGATTTTCTCCACTCTGGGCAAAGTTTAATTTGCCCAAGTGTTGAATATTTATACCCCTTTTCTAGAAACCCTTCTCCTTAAACTTTCCTCTTTTAATTTTTCCTAATCTCTTCCCTAATAAAACTTTACTAAAATAAAACTTTCCTTAATTTAAATTCCAACTTAATTAAAATAATTAATGAAATAAACTTAATTAAAATACTTTAAATAAAACAATTCAATTTAATTAAATACTCCTCAAATACTTATTTTAAATAAAATACGCATAAAAATACGGGGTATTACAGTCTACCCTCCTTAAAAGAAGTTTCGTCCCGAAACTTGGGAAACGAAATTCAAACTTTTCCTCCCTTAGTATAATATTGTTGTACTTTTTGTCGTGTCTTTACCTTTTTGTGTCTCTTTGAGAATACAATAACTCAAAATACTCGCTAAAATTGTGCAAAAAGCACAAAAATAGCTGAAAATATAGGGAAAAAGCGCGAAATTCTACTGCATTCTACCCCCCTAAAAGAAAACGAGTTACGTCCCCGTAACTCAACATACTTGAAACAACTCTGGGTATTTCTTTTTCATTTCATCTTCTGCCTCCCAAGTGGCTTCCTCACATTCTTGGTTAGACCATAACACTTTCACAATCCTAACATTTTTATTGCGTGTACTACGCACTTTACTGTCAAGAATTTTGACAGGTCTCTCCTCATAGGTTAAACTTTGGTCTAACTCAATGGTTTCAGGTTTTAGCACATGAGATTTATCAGGTATATACCGTCGTAATTGAGACACATGAAAAACATCGTGCACCTTGCTTAGCTCCATAGGTAATGCCAACCTATAAGCTACTTTGCCTATTCTTTGCAGTATTTCATATGGACCAATGTACTTTGGGCTTAGTTTTCCTTTCTTTCCAAATCTCATCAATCCTTTCATTGGTGATACCTTTAATAATACCTTGTCACCAACTTCAAATTCCTCCTCTCTACGCTTCAAATCTGCGTAGCTCTTTTGACGATCTTGAGCTGTTTGAATCTTAGCTTGAATTTCCCTTACTTGTTTTACTGTATCCTCGATCATTTGAGGCCCTAAAATTAGTGTTTCACTTATATCGTTCCAACAAATTGGACTACGACACTTCCTCCCATATAATGCCTCAAATGGAGCCATTCCTATGCTCGCATGATAACTATTATTGTAGGAAAATTCAATCAAATCCAAGCTATCCTCCCATCCTCCTTGGAAGTCTATAACACAAGCTCTCAACATGTCCTCCAAGGTTTGAATGGTTCTTTAAGTTTGCCCATCTGTGGCAGGGTGAAACGTTGTACTCATCTTAAGTGTCGTACCAAAGTTTTCCTGTACGCTTTTCCAGAATTTTGAAAGAAACCTGGAATCTCTGTCAGACACAATATCCTTTGGAACTCCATGTAATCTCACAACGTTCTTGATGTAAGATTTTGCAAGTTGTTCCATCTTCCAAGTCTCCTTCATTGGTATAAACACTGCGGACTTGGTAAGTCTGTCCACCACAACCAAATGGTATCATTTCCACTCTTTGATTTTGGAAGGCAAGTCACAAAATCCGTTGAAATACAGTCCCACTTCCATCCAGGAATTTCCAATGATTGCACAGTTCCCTGTGGTCTCTTGTGCTCTATTTCCACTTTTTGGCAAGTCAGACACTTTGCTACAAATTTCGCAACCTCATTTTTCATTCTAGGCCACCAATACACCTTTTTTAAGTCCTTGTACAACTTATCCCCTCCTGAATACACTGAATAGGGTGTATTGTGTCCTTCTTCCATTAGTTTTCTCTTCACTTCCTCGCACTTTTGAGGTACACACCATCGACCTTTGTACCTCAAACTTCCATCTTCATGAATTTTGAAATTTGTAGCTTTGCCTTGCTTTATTTTCTCACGAATCCTATCCAATTTCACATCTCCTGCCTGGTTTTCTCTTATTTCATCGAATATAGTTGGTTGGATAGTCAAGTTCGCAAGAATGCCAGCTGGTACTCCCCATTCTACAACTTCTAAGTTCATTCTGCTCATTTCCCTACATAACTCGTTAGCCACTACCAAAGTATTCAATCCATGACTGATCTTACGACTTAGAGCATCCGCAACTACATTTGCTTTTCCTTCATGATATTGTATGTCTAAGTCATAATCCGTAGTATACTCCAACCATCTCCTTTAGCGAGAGTTCAAATCCTTCTGAGTGAAAATGTACTTCAAGCTCTTATGGTCTGTGTAAATCCTACATTTCACTCCATACAAGTAATGACGCCAGATCTTTAGTGCAAAGATAATTGCAGCAAGTTCCAAATCATGGGTTGGATAATTCACCTCATGGGTCTTCAACTGCCTTGATGCGTATGCAATTACCTTCCCATTTTGCATAAGCACGCACCCCAAACCATTCTTTGATGCATCACTATACACATCATAAATCCCACTATCGTCTGGCAGAGTCAGCACTGGTGCTGTAATCAATCTCTCTTTCAAGAGTTGGAATGCTTCTTCACACTTATCATCCCACTCAAAATTCTTGTCCTTTTTCATAAGAGTAGTCATAGGTTTAGCAATCTTCGAGAAATCTTTCACAAAACGCCTATAATATCCTGCTAAACCTAGGACACTCCGAACATCGGATACTGTTTTGGGCGTAGGCCAACCCTTCACAGCTTCGATTTTGGCTGATCTACTTCCACTCCATCCTTAGACACAAAATGACCTAAGAATGCTACCTTTTCCAACCAAATTCACACTTAGAGAACTTAGCATAAAGATTGTTTTCTCTTAGTGTTTGCAGAATTGCCCTCAGGTGTTCTACATGCTCCTCTTTGCTTTTTGAATACACCAATATATCATCTATGAACACTACTACAAATTTGTCCATAAATTGATGAAACACCCTGTTCATCAGATCCATAAAAATTGTCGGAGCATTGGTCAATCCAAATGGCATTACTGTAAACTCATAGTGTCCATACCTCGTCCTAAATGCAGTCTTAGGAATGTCTTCGTCTGCAATTCTCAACTGGTGATATCCGGATCTCAAGTCAATCTTAGAAAACACAGTTGCGCCCTTCAACTGATCAAACAAATCATCAATCCTTGGAAGTGGATATTTATTCTTTATCTTCACCTTATTCAATTCTCTATAATCAATGCACAACCTCATGCTCCCATCTTTCTTCTTGACAAACAGAACTGGTGCTCCCCAAGGAGATGCACTCGGTCTAATGTATCCCTTGTCTAACAAGTCCTGTAATTGCTCCTTCAATTTACTCATTTCTACAGGTGTCATTCGATATGGTGCTTTGGATATTGGTGTTGTCCCTGGGACTAAATCTATAGTGAAATCAATTTCTCTCCTAGGTGGCATTCCAAGAATCTCGTCCGGAAATACATCCAGAAACTCATTCACCACCTCAATATCTCCTGGCTTAGTTACCTCCTCATGATCCATGTTTCTCACACTACAGAAATACACTAGATGTCCCTTTTTCATATATTTTGCCAACTTCAACACAGAAATCAACCTAGGGCATTTGGCTTTGCCATGCATCCAATAAGTCACAGCCTCATTCTCACTTGTGATCATTTTTACTTTCTGTGACCGACAACTTATTTCAGCACTATACTTGCTCAACCAATCCATTCCTAAGATGACATCAAAGTCCTTTAACCCAAACTCAATTAGGTCAGACTGAAACACTTTCCCTTCGATCTCTAGAGGTACATGTCTAAAGGTTTTGGTACAATTTACTACCCCACCCGTCGGGATGGTTATTGGTAAATCTACGGCTTCTACTGTTTTCAAACAGTCTGTAAGTTTTGAAACAATTCTCGTTGAGATAAAAGAAAAAGTTGCACTAGAATCAAATAAAACTTTAACAGGAATAGAGTGTATAGAAAAAGTACCAGTGATGACATCTTTTGTGGAATCAGCCTCATGCCTACTCAACACATTCAGTTTTCCTGCTGTTCCACCCTTCTGATGATTATTTCCATTATTACTGTTATTGCTGTTCTTTGCTCCATTCTGCTGCGTTCCTTTATTTCCATTGAAGTTATTGTTGTTTCCCTGAAAGTTCCTTTGGGTCCCTCCTGAATTATTGTTCTGCTTATTCCCATTAGAACCTTTGGAGAAACACTCATACTCCCTATGCCCCAACTTGTTGCAAGCACGACAAGCAACCAGATTTCTATCACAGTCCTTTCCAGGATGGTTATTCTTGCATCTCCTGCAAAAATAACGCCTCTCATTTCTGTTACTCCCTTGGCTATTGTTCTTAGCCCCTCCATTGAAGTTACGCCCTCCTTGACGATTGTTATTTTGAGAATTACTGTTGTTGTTGTGGAAGTTGTTGTTGTGATGGTATTTCTGCTTCTTGAAATTGTTCTGGTTACCCTGTTGGTTCCCAGAATTTTGCCCCATTTGTTTTCTCTTTTCCTTCCCTTCTATCTCAGCTAACTCTTTCTTTTTCTTCTCCTCCAATGCATAAAGGTGTGCGGCCCTCCCATACACTTCATTCAAAGTTTCAAAGACCTGTCCGCACAACTTTAACTGTAAATCAGTAGTCAAACCACTCTCGAACTTCCTAGCCTTTGCCTTCTCCGTAGTAACCGACTCCTCAGCAAAACGAGATAGCTCAATAAACTTAGTATAGTATTCAGTCACTGACATCTTCTCCATCCTAAGGTTTGAGAACTCCTCAGCCTTCTGCTTCTGTAAGAAGCTAGGATAGAACTTATCTCTCACTTTCTCTTGGAATTTGGTCCAATTGAATCCTGGTAATGCTCTAATAGTCGCTTCATTTTGTTGCCACCAAAGATCAACTTCACCTCTTAAGTAATAGGTAGCATAGCCCACCTTAGAATTTTCTAGGCACCCGACTACACCAAACAACTTCTCAAATTCCCTTAACCAATTTTCCAGTATGGTAGGGTCAGGCTCTCCTTGATAGGTTGGTGGTTTACTTTGGGCAACCTTTTTGAAAAGCTCACCCTGAGCATCCCCATTGTTGTTCGAGTTCCTGGCCAACTGTTGGCCTACCACTGCTAACTGTCTCACAACCTCACTCAAATCACCCCCGTCATTGTTGTTACCACTCCCCCCTGCCATTTTGCTTCTCCTGAATTAAGATCAAGGGTTTATATTAGATATGGCTTTGGTTAGCTCTCAAGGCATACACTCGCCTATAGCTTAAGACCCTCGAAACATTCACAGCAAAATTTGAAGCTAACAAATTGGGATAGCAAAAGCTAAAAATTCCCTAAATTTGTAGCTTTGTCAATCAATTATTAATTGCTTATCAACCATGCATTTAATAAAGCATCACATAAATAATAAAAAGTAATTCCCATAGATTCCCACAGCTTAGAAATGACTTATTGGAATTAATTTGCTTGGAATTTGGCTATTGGGGTAGTGACGTGAAATGGTAGATTTTGAAAATAAAATGAAATATTATTTATTAGTATAAATAATTTATCAAATAAATAAATAAGACTTTTATTAATTAAAATAAACTAACATTACTGAAATAAGTTTTAGAAACTTATGTACTACATAAGTTACCGACTCGACGTGGTCATGCCACTTATTAATTTAAAACTGAAATAATACTAATAGAAATAACTGAAATTAAAACCGAGTATCCACCATGTGGAAAATTATAAGATTTAGTCCTTTCGGATGTTGTCACTTTTATCTGTCAACTGCTTGTAGCTACCAAGGTTGAACTCCCGATCATCTTCCTCCTCCATTGGCTCAGGTGACTCTGGCTCAGGTTCTACTTGCACAAACTCTCCCTCTTCCTCCTCATCCGAAGAAATGTCTATAACGATTGGAGTTGGAGGTGGGTTCGGATTAGAAATTTCCATGAGTGAGCTATCTGCCTCCCCTTCCTCTCCATTCTCTGCTTGGCCACCCTGAGAAGAAGAAGAAGAAGAAGAACTCTCTGATTGCTGACTAGGTATAGGGGGATTTTGCACCACTGGGTTTTCATAGTAGTAATCATGGTATGGGAGGTTGAGTCGTCGGCAATGTACTTTTTCTACCTTAACAAGGTAGGAAATCAAATATCTGTAATCAGAGTACCACTGCCCATAAAAGTCCCTATATTTATAATAGTTTGGGATGTCCCCTGGTAAATAAAAATCATCAAATTTAGCCTTGACAGCATAGTAGGGAGGCTCATCAGGCAAACAACGGACAATCATTGCTGAAATACGATCGGGGCTTTCAAAAACTCTGTCTCTTAAAACATTGCTCCTGTAGGAGCAGTAAAAACGAATCTTTTGAACGTAGTCATAAGGATGTTCGTTAGGTTTCTTAGTTAGAGTGCCTAGGTTGGTATATCTGCTAGGAAGATTCGGCATCCTGTAAAGAAAAGGCTTAGAAAAGAATTCCCTTTCCCAAAAAAAGCAAACAAAAATAATACAGTTCTTGCATGAATTAGGTTCAATGTTCAATCAAACAATTTTTTTTTTCTTATCACTAATCACATAAATACATGCTCACAAGTAATCCATAAACATGATCAAACATCACAACCTAAATATTAATGCATACAAGAACATGATTATTTCTAACTTATATGCCCAAATTCTTTCCTACCCGATCTCACCAACATGCTTTTAAAAACTGTAAACACATAATACTTACCTTAATCCTTGCTTTCCTGCAAAAGAACAAACTAAAAAAAATATTTTGACTCCTTTTTAATTCATATTTTCAAAGTTAAATAGGGAAGAAGACCCAAAAATTTTCGACCCTCCCCCCTAAACATTTCGGACCTCCCAAAATAAAAAAAAATATTTTGGTCCTTATTTTAAAAAAAAATCGGACTCTTAGTTAAAAAAAATTCGATTTTAAATTTAATTAAACAAATATTTGATCTTCTCAAAATAAAATAAAATAAAATAAAATAATTCCCTTAAAATTTTCACCAATAAATAAGTAAATACTTGGCCAAGTTTAAAATTAAAACACTTTAAAACACATTTTTAGTTTTAGTGGTAATAAAAAATCTCAACCAAAGCTCCCAGATACCACTTTGTAACACCCTAGAAATTCCTTTATTTTAAAATACCTGTTTTGCCCTGTTGAAACTTTAAATAGAAATATCTAAGATATTACTGCCACCGTGAAAACGGCTAAGGCAACTATCAAAGACACACAGCGGAAGACTAATTTCAAAATAATTCAAACCAAGTCAACTTGAAAAGTCAACCAACGAAAGTAAAGTCAAACCAAAGTCAAACGAAGTAAAGTAAAATCAACCTACAACTCGGAACCGTTATAAGCCCTCATCAAAACCAAACCAACTTAAAACTGTTGCGTTAGTTGAGCATATAAATAGAATCATAAGTAATTAAAGCATTAAACACATCATATACTTATGGAAACTAGCATGATTCGCTCCTCACTCATGCCCATCATGAATATGCTTCATAACCTGAAAAGCTTATCTCCACTTGTTTCCACTACTCTCCATTAAAAATGGGTCATCATAGGGCCAAGATATAGACAAGGCCAACAAACACACAAAACACACAATCAGCAAAGCTGAGTACATAAGCGCAATTAACACACTAACATGTGATTTCCTAACAACATTCAACTTACCTTGTTGCACCTGTGTTTCAAGCATACATCATTCAACAAAACTTTACAACTAGACACGTACGTAATTTATTTAGCATTGATTACACATCGAATGGGTTTCCCCACTAACCTCCCCCAAATAAATTGAGGTTACTGACACGGGAGCTAACCGTGCCAGCATCAAAACCACACATAGGTGGCGAAATTCCTGCGCATATTAATAATAAAAGGAATGTACAACGTCCTGTACTCCAGTAGAAGTTATGGTTAAATATAAAACCCCATAACTCCCCCCATATGTTCATACTCAAGGTATATACGTTCCAAGAGTTTTGGTGCGTAATCTCTTTCACTTTACGTTATTTACAGTTTATTAAACTTGGTGATGACTCTCAAACCATAATAAATCAATCAATAATAATTATTCAAACAATCAAACATACCAATTTAATTCTTGAATAATTAGTGATCACATGATATTTAATGTTGAACCCTTTTAATTATACCTCGGTGTCAAAGACACCTTAAACGCATAAAGCGCCACAAATCCTATCTCTCGGTGTTAAAAACACCTTAAGTGCACTAAGGCACCAACATACAATTTATTCCTCGTGTACAAAGACACTTAAATAGCTCTTTCCTCATGCTCATAGCATCAATAAAAATCATATGAACCATAATAAAATTCCTTTACAATCTTCCAAAACAAATTAAACATTTAGTTTAATTAAACATGCTCTCTAACATGCCATAAATAAATATGTGGTTCATGAATAATATTCCAAACTATTATCTTCCATTTAATAATCCATCACAAATAAATCATGCTTCATAATCCAATCACTAATAACATCCAAATCATAAATTCCATTCCAGGCTTAGCATGATACTACTTGTAATCAATCAAACATATTTAGATTGCTACTACATCAACATAATTTGCTAAGTACGCGAACGTACCTTGAATATGATCTTAAAATCGCCACGACTAACAAAAATCGCTCACTTCAAAGTCTCCTACAATTTAAAATCATAGAAGAGTATTAAAACCCACTCTACACAAATTTCCAGCAATATATACTATTATAAAACCCCTCATAATTTAATTAAAATAAGCTGAAATTATATTTAAAACATCATACTTTAACCCTAATTAATGGGTAATTAAAAATTCCTTAAAGAAACTTGATTTTTGACATACTACCAAAAATTCCAGCATTATAATTATATAAAAACTTGCTGTAATTAAGCCTTAAAACACTTAAATTAAAGGTTTAAACCATTATATATCATAATCCTTCAATAATTAATAATTCAAGAATTTAGGGTTTCAAAAATTAGGGCTTTTTAATTAAAATCATGATCTAGAAATTTATTTAACATACTACTTATAATCAAACATCATAATATAAATCATAAAACCCATAATTGAAATTTGATCTAGGTTTAACAAAAATTAAAAACAAAAACAAAATAAATTTTTTTTTTCTTTGGAAAAGCATGGTGGCAGCCGACAGCCACCCCGGCTGCTGCCGGCGCCGGTGGCTGCCTGCTGCCGGCGGCTGGGGCTGCTGGTGGCTGGTGGCCCACCGGTGGTGGTGGTGGCCGGCGGTGAGGGGCCGAAAAAGGGGAAGGGGAAAAAAGAGAAAGAAAAAGAAAGAAAATAAAGAGAAAAGGGAGAGAAGTTTACCTTGGATTTTCTCCACTCTGGGCAAAGTTTAATTTTCCCAAGTGTTGAATATTTATACCCCTTCTCTAGAAACCCTTCTCCTTAAACTTTCCTCTTTTAATTTTTCCTAATCCCTTCCCTAATAAAACTTTACTAAAATAAAACTTTCCTTAATTTAAATCCCAACTTAATTAAAATAATTAATGAAATAAACTTAATTAAAATACTTTAAATAAAACAATTCAATTTAATTAAATACTCCTCAAATACTTATTTAAAATAAAATACGTATAAAAATATGGGGTATTACAAGTCATCTACAACTTATTCGGCCCACCTCTACCTCTTAAACCACCCATTTAGCCCACCGCGACCCCCTAAAGAAACCCACACCAACGAGCCTTGAAACGACCCATCTCCCTTGATTAAGTCATATCACCTAATCAAAAGTATTACCTAAGTCCTCTAACTAATGTGATAGAGAAGTAGGGTCGAATTCACAGGGAAACAAGTCTTTCTATTTCTAATTAATTAATATAATCTAAACTATCAAGTAACCAAATTGTTGTGAGGGGAATTAAACTAAGGAGAATAAATAGGGAGAAATCAATAATAAAAAGCCTAGGGTCACAGGTTCACCAATAATTAATATTCTGGGATAAACAAAATAATCAATAATTAATATTGCACATATAACACGATTAACAGGCTCTCGCAATTTCTTAATCAACATAGATCTAACAGGCTCTCGCAATTTACTAGATCTTAGTTCCTGTTGAAAATAGCCTTTAATTAATATCAAATTAACATATGCTCGATTCATCGATTCAATATTGCTATACTT